AACTTGCACCTTGAATAAAATATCACAGTTACTTTTCATGGTAATATATTATTACTAAATTTAGATAATATACACTTTACGTATGTTCACTTTGAACTGGCATCTTGAATAACATATCAGTTACTTTTCGTGATAATTTATTATTAGATCGTTTAAATTTTGAAAGGTTTAAATTTTTGAGTATCTTCTTTTGAACATGGCCTGACCTTTTCATTTTTATGATTTTTATTATCCTGACTATGTTAACTACCGTCTTTATTGTTTAATATCACGTTCTAATTTATAATTAAAATATTTGTATTGCGCTGAAGAAGGCTTGAAATGTCAGCCGAAACGTTCGCATAATTGTTTTATTTTTTATATATTTATTTTCTCTTTTAAAATACATTTTATTAATATCATCTACACATAAATGTTTATTGCTTATGCATTTATTTTCTTGTTTTAAATGAATTTTATTAAGATTATTTGACAACTGCAATTTGTTTAATATAGCTCTTACAGCCCTTCTTTGTTCACAAACATTAAGTTTAATAGAGCTTATTACTATTTTTATCAAATGTATATAATATATATATATAGATATATATATATATATATAATATATATATATATATATAAATATATATATATATATGTATATATATTTGATTTTTTTATAACAGAATTTTCACAAAATAAATAACACATTAAGTATATATATATATATATATATATATATATATATATATACAGGGTAGGCCATTTTAATCTTCGGGCTAAAATTTCTCAAAATCCAAAAGTTTAAGACAAAATGTTTTAGATAAAAGTTGTATGGTTTCAAGGGGGACATGAAATGGTGTCATTGATTTGACCTTGAGTAGCCATTTGAAGGTTACGTGAAGGTCAACTTCAATTTCTTAAATGGAACACTATATTTTTTCTTGCATACTTTTGTAGCTGACTTCGAGATCTTTCCAAAACATAATTAAATAGGGGATTTTTTTGGAACTTTTGATTACATATTGAGCGCGTTGCACAAATTAAGTTCTACTTGGGACTCTTCTGAGACATCTTCTACCGCATTTTGCTTGTTGACATCTATGAAAAGCATGGAATTTATATTAATAGCTCTCCTAACAATTAATCGAGTTTTCGATTTTTCCAGTAATCTTTGTAAATATTTACAAAGTCCTAAGATCGATTTATGCGAGGCAATTTCATATGCAAAAATTGTAACTCAAAGAGTTAACGAAATTAGAGAAAATGTCGACATTGAATTTGAAACTTTGTATGCAAAAGCTAGTAGAGAAATATGAAATTGAAATAAAAGTTCCAAGGCTTGCTATCCAAAGATCAATTAGTCCAATAACCTATTACAAATCCAATATATTTATAAATTTTCTCGATCATTTCATCATGCAAATGAATAAAAGATTTCTCATTCATGAACAAATTTTATCCAGTTTTCAATTTCTATTAGCACCTTCGCCTTTAGACCAGCATAATTGCATCTTTTAAAAAATTATCTTCAAACGTATGAAGCTGATTTGCAATGCAACATGGAAGGATTGATGAATGAGTATGAAATTTGGCATAAAAGAGTGGAAATGTTAAAACGCCCGTTAAAAAATGTAGAAGATGCGTTAAATAATTGTAATCCAATTATTTGCGAAAATATTTTTATTATTTTACGTATTTTTGCTACTTTACCCGTGTCGACTTGCGAAAACAAGAGATCATTTTCGATGTTACGACGTCTGAAAACCTATTTGCGAAGCACAACTTCAGAGAATTGTTTAAATGGATTGGCGCTCATGAATCTTTATACAGATTTAATGCCGTCTGTTGAAGATGTTTTAGATGAAATAGCTAAAACGAACTTAAAAGTACTCATTTAAATAATACAGAAAAAATAATAAAGAAAAAAATAAATAAAAACATAAAATAAAAAATACAACAATAAAAAATAATAACATATAATTAAAAATTAAAAAATTAAAAATTTTAAAAATTTAAAAACTTTTAAAAAATTTTAAAAAAATTACAAATTAAAAAAAAACAAAAAATTAAAAAAAAAGTAAAAATAGGATCAGAAGTTTCACCACGTCCTCGTCGTTGATCCTGGAGTAAAAGCTAAGCGTGAAACCTAGAAAAATGTCAAGTAATTTTGCCGAAAACCCCCCCATGACCGAGGTCAGGATTCGCTATTGGTGGCAGCAACCCAAATCGTGCCTGCAAAGAGTTCAAACACACAGACTACCTCAGGTACGCTGTCTGCATTAGAAGAGTCACTTAACGCACTCACATTACAGGTCTCAAAAATGCAGAAACAACTAGATCGCAACGAACGATTCCGTCGCTCCCGTAGCAGAGGAAGAGGGAACTAACCTAGAGCATTGACACCTGCACTTACGCATTCAAATAAGCCTGAGTTCTGTTACTATCATAATAGATTTGGTGCCAACGCAAGAAAGTGCCAGCACCCTTGTGCGTGGACTCAAGGAGCTAAGCCGCAGGAAAACTAATAAAATCTCCGTACATAGGGGCGACTACGGAGATCAATGAGACGTCAAACTGCCTCACAGTCATGGATCAATACTCAAGAATGAAGTTCCTAGTGGACACCGGTGCAGACGTTTCAGTTCTACCAAAACTCATGAAAGGCAAACAACCTACCCGTGCTAGGTTTACAATCTACGCAGCCAACGGCACTATCATTCCTACTTACGGAGAGCTCAAAATGAAACTCAACTTTGCACTACGCAGAGATTTCGTTTGGCGATTCATTGTAGCTGACGTCCAACAACCGATATTGGGTGCCGACTTTATAAAGCATTTTAAACTGCTTGTCGATCTCCACAACCGCCGACTAGTCGATACAGAAACAAAATTGCACGTGCTAGGTGCAATCACAACATGCAACACTCCAAGTTTAACAAAAATCAGCTACGATAACTGTTACAGGAAAATTCTACTGGAATTCGACGAAGTAACACGTCCAATCAAAAGCCAGGAACCCACGCACGGCGTGCAACATTATATAATCACCAACGGACACCCCGTAGCAGAGCGAGCTAGGCGCCTTTCACCAACCCGTTATAAGGCAGCCCGAATCGAATTCCAAAACCTCATCCAGCAGGGTATTTGCGAGCCATCCTCTAGCCCATGGGCCTCTCCGCTGCATATGGTGAAAAAATCCAATGGAACATGGAGACCATGTGGCGATTATCGTCGATTAAACAAAGTCACGATACCTGACAGATATCCTGTCCCTCATTTACATGATTTTACGCACCGTTTACATAGATGCAAGATCTTTACCACGCTTGACCTCAACAAAGCATTTCACCAAATTCCAGTGGCTCCAGAGGACAGATCAAAACCGCCGTAATCACTCCTTTTGGTTTGTTTCAGTTCAACAAGATGACCTTTGGTCTCTGCAACGCTGCGCAGACATTTCAGCGCCTGATGGATACGGTCCTCCGAGGGGTGGAATATGCGTTCTGCTACATTGACGACATTTTGATCGCATCTACAACCCCAGAGCAACACGCAACACACGTGCGTGAAATCCTATCACGGCTACAGCAACACGGCCTATCCATCAATGTGGGAAAGTGTACCTTCGGAGCCGAGAAGGTCCGTTACCTGGGATATACCATTAGTCAGGAGGGTATCGCCCCCCTCCAAGAGCGCATAGCTGCAATTAGGGACTATCCCATACCGAATACCGTCAAGGAACTACGCAGATTCCTTGGTTTTATCAACTTTTACCGACGCCTACTCAAAGGAGCAGCATTAATTCAAGCACCCCTACACAAACTCACAACCGGAGCAACCAAGCGAGACAACCGAACAATAGTTTGGACACCGGAGACGCGGGAAGCATTCGAACAAAGCAAAGACAACTAGAAGAAGCTACTCTCCTGGCACACCCAAAAGAAGGAGCACCTCTGGTGTTGCAAACAGATGCCTCAGACACAGCCATCGGTGCCGCATTGCAACAACTCCAAGGAGACGTGTACGTACCCTTAAGTTTTTTCTCACAAAAACTAACCGAGACACAAAGAAAGTATAGCACCTACGACCGTGAGCTCCTAGCGGTCTATAAAGCCCTAAAATATTTCCGGCATTTTGTAGAAGGTCGTGAATGTACAGTAGCAACGGACCACAAGCCGTTAATATATGCCTTCGACCAGAAGTCAGACCAAGCATCTCCTAGACAGCTGCGCCAACTGGATTATATCTCACAATTTACTACTCACCTGGTTCACTTTCCTGGAACGCAAAACACAGTCGCAGACGCACTATCTCGAATCCAAGAGATACACATGCCTACAATTTTCTCCATTGAAGACATCGCACTCGAGCAACTAAAGGATGAAGAGCTGCAAGAACTAGTAAAATCATCAACGACGAATTTGCAACTCCGTAAATTACGCCTCGATGACTCAGAACATACAATATTCTGTGACGTTTCCACCGAAGAGATTCGCCCATACTTACCTCACATCCTACGCCGCAGAATATTCGACACGGTGCACCGCCTATCGCATCCAGGAGTCCGAGCTATCCGAGATCTAATCGCACGCCGATTTGTTTGGCCAGGCCTAAATAAGAACGCCGCAGAGTGGGTCAAAACCTGCTTAGCATGCCAACGTGCAAAGATCCAGAGACATCACAAAAACCTGCCAGAACACATTCGAGTCCCGGACAACAGATTCCACCAAGTTCATCTCGACATCGTCGGTCCTCTGCCGCCGTCCCGCGGGTACCAGTACTGCCTAACTGCAATAGATAGATTTACCAGATGGCCAGAAGCCATTCCCATCAAGGACATCAGCGCAGATACAATCGCGGACGCATTCCATGCAACGTGGATCTCTCGTTTCGGCGCTCCCGCAACCGTAACCACGGACCACGGTTCTTAGTTTGAATCTAGATTGTTTCAGGCCCTCATTCAGCTCATAGGCGCACACAGGACCAGGACTACAGCCTACCATCCGTCCTCCAATGGGATGGTAGAACGGTTTCACCGCTCTCTTAAATCCCCCATCCGCTGCCATGCATCCACCGAGTGGGTAGACATCCTCCCCACGGTCCTGGGACTACGAGCCAGCGTCAAAGAGGACTTGAAGACCAGTGCAGCGGAATTGGTTTACGGAACCCCAATCCGTCTACCCGGAGAATTCTTCATAGACGAAGACCCACCAAAAGACCCTCAGATATTCATCGAAAAGTTACGCAAATTCATGCGTAAAATACGACCAACACCGCCAGCTCACCACATCAGGCCCAGGGTATTCAGTTATAAGGACCTCTTCAGCTGTTCCCATGTATTCGTCCGAGTGGACGCCGTCAAAAAGCCTCTCGACTGCCCCCACGAAGGCCCGTACGAGATCATCGAAAGGATATCCGATCGAGTTTTTAAGCTCAAAATCAAAGGAGAGGAGGTAACCATTTCCACGGAAAGACTGAAGCCGGCCTACCAAGAGTTAATACCCCGGGAGACGCTACATGTACCAAGGACATACCCGCCACAGCACAGCAACCTACGAAGACCTATCCTCCAGCCAAAAAGGTCACATTCGCAACTTAGGCAAAGTTGCTAAGAGGGGAGTAATATGGCATCTCTCTAGTAACTTTATTATACCGCGCACATGCGCACTAGCCAAAGATGGTTCCTATCTAGATATTAAGTAATCTAAGCTCTTTCTCACATGCGCACTAGCCAAAGATAATTCCTATCTAGATTATTAAGTAAGCTAAGTTCTTCCTCACCGAACACACTCTTTTTGTCTGCCTTTAATACTGTGATACTGTCTGTTACCAAAGAAAAAATAAAGTATTTTTTATACATATAAAAAATATACTCATCACATACTCATCGATCCGAGACACCTCAGCAGTGGTTTCCAAATAGTTATCATATATCTACCTGCATCCGAGATATATATATATATATATATATATATATATATATATAAGTAGCGGGAAAGAGATTCCTGCTCATGCGTCTCGGATGCAGGTAGATATATAATAACTATTTGGAAACCACTGCTGAGGTGTCTCGGATCGATGAGTATGTGATGAGTATATTTTTTATATGTATAAAAAATACTTTATTTTTTCTTTGGTAACAGACAGTATCACAGTATTAAAGGCAGACAAAAAGAGTGTGTTCGATGAGGAAGAACTTAGCTTACTTAATAATCTAGATAGGAATTATCTTTGGCTAGTGCGCATGTGAGAAAAAGCTTAGATTACTTAATATCTAGATAGGAACCATCTTTGGCTAGTGCGCATGTGCGCGGTATAATAAAGTTACTAGAGAGATGCCATATTACTCCCCTCTTAGCAACTTTGCCTAAGTTGGAGGATGAGAAGGGAATATATATATATACACGTGCACGAGCGCTACATTCCTGTTTCTCCTACTGCCCTCTCTCGCCTACCACAGCTATCACTCTTCCTTCTTTACCCGTGCTCCCGTCTACTTTACCGATCCTTTACTCTTTTTTCCCTTGCTTCCCCCCTTTTTTTTTATATTGAGGAAATTTGCTTTAACCAACAAACCGTACCAACTGGGCTCTGAGGGAGGGCGCAGAAGGCGTGTGGGGGATTCTCCACCTCTGAAGGAGGTGGCCTGACCCAAACCTAAAACCTCACTGAAACCCTTGCCTTGACGGGTATTGTCCACCGGGAACCGCTTTCGCATAACTTCCAGTGGACACCCTCGGCCATGACCCCTTTCGGGGCTCTTTCCCCTGGAAGAAGGTGGTGTTTCCTCCAGGTAACACCCTTCCCGTGCTCACTCTCCCTACCTGGGAGAGGGCAGCAAGAGGGAGCCGGGTTCCGAACCCCCTCTCTTCGTCCCAGGGACAACGTGCAATGAGATTGGAGCCCTCACTCCTCACTCGTGCCGTCCCCGACTCCCTTGCTTCCCCTGCCTATACTCTATTTTCCTTCGCTTTTCTTCTTCATTTCTCCACTTTGTGACCTTGCATCTTTTTCCATGCACTTTCTCCCCTTTTCCTCCTTTTTCTCTTTCTTCTTCTTTCTTTTACTTTTCCCTTTTCCTTCTCTCTTCCTCTCTTGGCCGTGCGTCTTCTCTTGCCAAACTGCCATGTGTCCAACTGTTCCACAGCCCTTCTCATCCTCCAATCCTTTTTTCCTTTCACTTTTTCTAACTCTTATAATTTCCCTTTCCCTCTTCTTTTTCTCCTCTTTTTTATATTTTTCTTTCTTTCTTTCGCCGTGTGTCTCCTTTGTGCCAACTGTCACGTGTCGACTGTTCCATAGCTCTCTTTTCATTCCTTCCATCCATCCTCACTTCTATATAGTCTTCTATCTCCTCTTATTCTCCTTTTTCCTGTCTCCTCTCATTTTCCTTTCCTTCCTCACTTCCACCTGCAGCATTTTATTCACATTTCCTTTCTTTCATCTCCTCTGTCACCTCCTAAATTCACCTTTTTCTCGGAGCACACTTCACAACGTCCTCTCGCACGCCGCCATCTTCTCAAGACTTCAATATAGAAAATATAAAGTTGCATATAATTTTCAAAATTTACGCCCGACATCAGCTTCACCCAAAGTGAACGTGCCCGGGAAAAATTTTTTTATATACTAACAATATAAAATTATATAACAATATAAAATTATAAATGATTGGAGAAATAAATATAAAATTATATAGAAATATATAAAATTATACGTATAATCACAAAATTATATGTGAAATATGTCCATGCATAATTAAATAGAAGTGCTTTTTATATATAATATAAATTTATACATATATATAAATAAGTATAATTATTAATTATAATTATAAGTATATACAATTATAAGTATAATTATTAATTATAAAAACATCGTTAGATAGAATCGCACAAGGTGTACTGGATTGTCTCAAAAAGATACATCCCAGCCATTCAATATTCTCGACGTCCACTGAAACTTTTTCCTATTGGAAAAACAATATCGATGATAATCATTGAGACGAGGCATAAGGTATCCAGATCATGGATACATTCCAGGAATATATATTTGGTAAATTAAACTTTCGATCATGCAAATGGAACAAATCAAATTTGGAACACATGTACATAGATAATGTAAGTCCGTATGAATTATAATATATTATAATTACTAGCCACATATATGTATATGTTTATTATATTTAATATAACTTCCCATTCTTATAACGATATAAAACTGCAAAGTCACCAGACGATAATTAAAAAATGGTAATGATTTAATCGACTAACTCTGGCAAAAAAGAATTTTTATTGAATTTCACAACTTTTCGGCCGTGGGTTTCTCATTAGTATATTAATTATTAATTTCTTTATTGTGGTACTTAGGCACAGGTTTTACGACATAAATATGGTCAAGAAAGAATTGTAATAATAATATATCACAGCGTAGCTAGAAGACTTGGTCTACGTTGCGATATTCTTTTGGATATCAACGATCTCTGCATATACTGGAAACCTAAACAATAAGTATAGATATAGGTATAGATGTACAGAGTGAATCATAAGTCACGTCGCATCTCTGAGAACTGAGTTCGTCAAGTCATAACAAGTCGAAATTAAAGAATAATAAAATTATGTTTAAGCCTTCTTTAAAGAGTTGCTTTAATAGACAGCCCAATGCTGTAGCGAGTGAGAAATTCTCTTTTAAATCATGCTAATTTGTTCATGCAATTTAATGGCGATTTATTTGAATTCTTTAGGTAATCTTAATCTTGTCTATTTATTAATTAATTTATGTTATCATTTTCAACTTAAATAGAAATAAATTTTACTTAAAATAAATTTTTCGATTATTTTTGATTGCATCTCTGTAAAGAAGGTTCAAACGTAATTTTTAAATTCTTTATTTTTGACTTATTTTTACTTAACGTATTTATTCCCCAGAGATGCGACGTAACTTATGATACGTTCTGTATACTAGGAATTATCTAAATTTTTCGGTAATCTTATTGTTTTTATTATACATATATATATATACACACATATAATTTTATATTACAAAAATTTTATTATGATAATAATCCCAGCAAACACACAGTATATAAATGTTATATACTTAAGCATGTTACATGTAACGCATATGTTAGTTGTAATTTCCCACTCATAGATGTAACATTTTTAATATTACATATATTACATTGTAGTTATATTGTCATTATATCCCAAGATAGCATTGACTTATCAATACATCAATGTGCTATTTGATATATAATTACAATATAACGACAATGTAATATGTGTTATATTAAAATGTTACATCTATGAGTGGGAAATTACAACTAACATGGATGTTACATGTAACGTACACGTTATATTACCTGTTATATTCCGTTTTATTATAGCAATGTAACAATTATATATCGGTGTTTGCTGGGTTTCTTCGCCACGTTTATATTTCAAGACCTATAACAGAAATTACGATAAAGAAATTAATTAGAGCGAAAGTATTTTACAATATATAACAAACATGCCATTTATATATGCGGTCATGCTCATGGTAAAAAAGAGGCCGTAATTTACCCAAAGAGAACAGAAAAGTCAAAATAATGTCAATTTGACGTCATATTGACTAGTAACGTCAAATTTTTTTTATTAAATTTCTTTTTTTTGTATTAATTTTTTTTTTTTGTAAATTTTTTTACATTTTGTATTAATTTTCAATTTTTAATCCGTGAATAAATTGTATGTATAACACTGTCTCACTTGTCAAAAGATTATGATTTGGAAGTAGCACTTCTGGCTTTGTATTGATTTAACTGCTTCGATCTTCATAAACAAAAAGTGTTGGAAAAGAAGCAACAGGCACAAGATAATTGAGAATTAAAAACTTAAATTCATATAGAGAAATAAATGATATATCAGCAATAATGGATTCAAATTATAAGAGGCAATTATTTTTTTATAGAAAAACGCGACACAATGTATAATAAAAAAATGTTGATGAGATCAAAAACATTTAAAATATAAAAAATATTGAAATTATATTAAACGCACAAAAATACGTGCAGAACTTCTTTCTATATAGAAATATATCCAAAATGGTTTTTTTTTACGTACATGTATATTATACATATGATACGTATTATTTTTTCTGAATATTTTTGATATTATTTTTTATATCTTAGAATTTTTTTATATGCTACTTAAATCTTGTAATTTTAGAGACAGAAAAAATTCCAATTTTATGTTATTTTTAAAAAATAATAATATATACAAAAATCTTAAGCATTCTTGTAATTTTGGTGCGTTTACATCATTATATAGATTTATTAACTATAAAAAAAATGTGATGTGTATATATATAAATATTGAAGAAATATTCTCATGCAAAATGTACCGGTTATTATACATTATATTATATTTGCGTATTTAATATTATTATTTAACAAATATAAAAATTGTATATATGAAATATCGTCTGCTTTAAACATAATATTTCTATATATTATACTATACACAGAATGTATATGTATACATACTATATATTCTGCTTATTATATAAAAGTTTACGGCGTTAAAGGTCGAGTCATATAAGAAATATAATTTATTGGTACATATTGAAATAAAAATTACAGAGATAGTTGGTATAAATATAAAATAATAATTCCTGCTTTCTGTTTTACGCATACAATGTAACATATATTTTTATACATTGGAGGAAATGTATGCTTGTAAAATAAGATACTTAATATTAAATAGATAACCTATTTATAGCAATTCTAAGCTAAATTTCTCCTAAAATTATCTCGAGATTATATATAAAGATTATTTCAATATACATAATGCACACTCGCATTCAAGAGAAATTTCACAATTTTCTACCACTGCTGACATGATAAATAATTTGATACGATTAATCAGAATTTCAATCAATTTCTCAGACATGTTACAGGCGTATATAAACGATAAAACGCATTTTTCAATATATTTCAAGCATTTTCAGATAATCTTTTATCCAGTAACACATGTTCTCTTATACAATAATTATAACGTAATAATAATTCACATGTGTACATAATTTCGTATTTAATTAATATATTTTCTATTGAGTAACTGATTTTAAGAATTTATCCCTTATACAGGATGTCTCATTTTAATCTATCATCCCTTGTAACTTTGCAGGGAGCGGTCGTAGAGAAAAATCTTTCAGACAAAAGTTGTAGAATTCAGAGATAATTGTAGAATTAAAATTTCTATTTCTCATTACATATTCTTGTGCTTATCTCAACAGCTTTCCAAAACACTATAAAAATATTTTAATTTAAAATTTTTATATTGACCTTCAATTTTGACCCCTAGGTCAAGCTCAAGATCACCATTAGATGACTCCCTCTAAACTCTACAACTTTTGTCTGATACATTTTTCTCTATGACCGCTCCTTGCAAAGTTACGAGGAACGATAAATAAATGGAACACCCTGTATATCAGATATATATATTTCGACGTTCATATTAAAATTGTAACGTCAGAGATGAGAAAACACACGCTAAAAATTCTAAAATGCCATTTTTAAATAAAAATTCGATGAAACACTGCTTCAGATGGTTTTAGCACACTTTAAAAAATTTTCGCCTCTGACGTCACAATCTAACATGATCGAGGACCCAGGAGCCTTGAATTTAACGCAAGTTATCAACGTCTCCGATCCAACGATAAAACAGACGTCAAAATTGTCATTCTTGTCGCTCGACATACGTATGTTTACGTGATATGACGTAACTAATAAAGATAATCAACTATATAATTATATGCACAAGTTGCCGACGACTCCGTTAGCTCTCATCGTACAGGGGCGTACCGTCCCCGCTGAGGGACATACTTCGTGGACTAGAATTTGTGTGCGGAGTACCTCGGGGAGACTTGTACGAGGGAGTCCGCGTAGAAGAAGGTCTGCTCCTACCAGAGGGCGTCATCCTGCCGGCTGATTCTTCGTAGCCACGCGGGGTCTTCCTAGATTCCTCGTATTTGGGCGTTGATCCGCTGAAAGCACAGTCAATCATTAACGAATAAGGAACTTGTCAATTCGGCGAAACTCTCCACACCTCGAATATAAAAAAAAAAAAAAAAAAAGGTGTTAAAAATATACCATTTTTGACCCAACGTGGAACCTAAATCAATCATTGGAAACTGTTTTTAGAATCTCTAAAAGCAGAAAATTTGTCCACCGGGTCCAAGGAAAGTTGTGACAATCAAGATTTATTATTGATTATTGGAAGTCAGATTTTCAAGCTTTATATATATTTTCGATATATCTTCAAAATAAAATCAATTGTACACTTATATATATATTAAAAAGTAAATAGTATAAGCAGAGAATTTAATGTTTTGACTTACATAATTTATATTACACATAGGGTGTGCCAAAAGTCTGGAAATAGTTGAATGATTGAAAAGTAAAATTGTCAAAAAGTGAATATTTTATGTGTGAAATATTTGATATTGTTATTTTACATAATCTTGCGGAAGCTGTGAAATATCTCGTAAAATATTCACTTCTTGACCATTTCACCCTTATAACTTGTTATGCAGAATATTGCGAGGAATCGATTAATATGAAAAAAGTATAGTACTGCCATTTAAAAAATTCAAAATTCTTTGTTCTGACTTTGGTATCATCTATGGTCAAACTGACAAAACTAGTAAATTGATATTTTTAAGCGCTACAACTTTTTGTTGAAGCATTTATTTCTAAAATGCGTAATTAAATTGTTTCCAGACTTTTGACACATCCTGTATGTGTAATGTAAATTATGTTAATCAAACATTGAATTCTTTATATATGCTACTTATTTACCAACATACATATAAGTACACAATTTATTTTATTTTGAATATAATATCAAGGCTATAAAGCTTAAAAATCAAATTATATGACTGTTCCAATAATCGATAATAAATCTTAATTTTCCCCGGACCTGGTGAACAAATAATTGTTTTCTGCTTTTAGAAAATTCCAAAAACAGTTTTCAATGGTTGATTTTGGTTCCGCTTTTGAGCTTATATTTAACATCCTTCTTTTCAATTGAATGTATAAGTTTGCATTAATATTACACATTTCATTTAACATTTTAGAGAATAGATAGATAAATGGTTTCCAAAGCGTCTCGCGCCCGAGAGTTTCCGAATTACAGGACGAAGAGGGAGAAGTTGTGCGCTTACGAGACTCGGGGATTGCCTTTTAGACGCGCCCAGGCTTCGGCTGCCTTCTTCCAATCCATAGGATCGCCAGAGGGGGTCGACATGGGTGGCGTAGGTCTGTGCGACTGGGCGGATCTGTGATGACCAGGCGTCATTGAGGGCGGCGGCGGATGCACGAAGGGTCCCTGATGATGACTCGGTGTCTGTTGACCGTATCTGGGTGTCGGCTGGCCGTGATGGGGCGTGTGATGGGGCGTCTGGTATGGGGTCATGAACGGGGTCTGACCGGACGGTGTGTAAGGTGTGTTCGGATACGTGTGCACCCCGCCGTAACCGGCAGCACTGGCCGTTCCCGGGGTGTGCGGTGGATAGTGATGCGGCGTCTGATTCGCTACCTGCGATAGCGAGTGCAACATGTGGTGCGGAAGATTCTGCGCGACTCGCTGGATCGCCTCTTGATTCATTCCTGCAACAATCGAAATTTTGGAAATTTATTTTCGACACCGCTGACGAGAAATATCCCTAATAGCACATCATATACGAAAGACTCAGAGGATATCTAAAAGATATCCAGAGAACATTCGAACATCCTCAAGATGTTCTCTGAACGTCTTCAGGAGATGCGTGCTGTTAGGGATGGAATATTATTTTCATTTAATTCTTTATTGGCTTTATAGAATAAAAATTTTTTTCTAGAATTGAAGTATTTATAATAACAAATCTAGGCTACTATATGTGTATTTAAAAAGAAACCAAAAAAGTTAAATAATTATAGTTTTTTATCGTTTAAAAAACAACTAATTGTTTAGCTTACTTGTTTTTTTATATATACATACGTAATAGCCCAGATTTGTTATTACGAATACTTTAATTCCAGTAAAAGATTTTTCATTCTGCATAGCGAATAAATAATTAAATAAAAATAATACTTTTCGATAAAATAGACTTAGTCAGCATCCCCTTAATCTTTTTGGCCATACAGATTGAAAATCCTTTTCCACAATTAAAATATTAATAATAACGAACTGTGAACTCTATAATTTTATAAAAAAAAATTAATTAAAAAAAAGTTAAATTACATTAGAATCCCCTTAAACACCTGATCAAGTGGGATTCTCGGCAATTATAATTTGTGGTAATAACGTAGGCTTACCGCTGACTGCTCCCGGCGTAGTATTGTAAGGTGTTCTAGAAGTCATTGCGCCGCGAGGTGTACTAGGAGTGGATTGTCCGGGCACCGGATCTCTGAAGTGTTCCTTAAACCAGCGCAACAGGTCGCTCACCTTAGGGAACATTTGTCCCCGGAATTTGAAGCCCTCGGACGTCACTGTGACGTATTCATGGCGACAACGAGTGCGTGGCAAATATGAAAGCAGAAACTTTCCAGGATAGGTCTGCGAAAAGAAACGAAAAAATTATTTGGTCTTGAAGATCTCTTTCAACATTTCACATGCAAATACTAAGAATTCGTTGCGCGCTTTATTTACCCTAGCTGCAGAGACTATGTAAGGAATTCCACCGGGGTTCTCCTTCTTTTGATCCTTCAGTATCTCCTCCGCTTTGTCTTTGATTCCCTCCACGGCTGGCTTGTAGTACTTGAAGTCCAGCATTTCGGACGCGTAAGCAGCCATGGGATTAACATGTCGGGCGATGATCTCGTCCAGATCCTCGAACTCTTCGTTGCCGATCCAGAGGCTCTGCCCCAACGAGAAAGCGTTCTCCTTGCCCTCCTCCCGTACATCGATGTGCTGCAGAATATCGTCGGTGACCTTCCACGTGACCGTCAGGTGATCGGCGCCTTTGCTGCTCGGTCTGACTATTGCCTCGCCCTGCTTCATCGTCTGCATCAGTTTCACGGTTTCAGCGAAGCTGATGTTATGGAAAGACGGATGGACAATCACTCGCTTCACGTAAATCTGCCGCTGTTTCGCCTTCTTCGCGTCCTCCTCCACCTTCATGTCCTTCTGTTCGGCCTCGGTGTCGTAAAATGGATCTCGTTGCGGCCTGTAAATTATTATTTGTATAATTTCCTATACAGGGTGTCTTGTTTTAATCGATCATCTCCAAAATATTTCTTTTATTGTATAACAAATGTACTTTTTTCTGAAAAGCGTTTTTCAAGGTCATATAAAAGTCATTTCAAGATCAATTGTTTTTTTTTAATGGAACCACAAAGTCAATTATGTATTTTAAAGAAAACCACTATATTTTTATATTTCAATTATTTTGAAGGCAACAGAGAAGATTTATGTAAAAACCACTCGACTATACTATATTTACTAGCGTAATTCGCTTACCTCCACTCATGATTTTTGTCCGTGAGGTCACTACTTTTGCTGGTGCATTCGACACTGAATCGATCTACTTCGATTTTAATAATACGGCAATGAATGGTCTGACCGATACAAACTCTCTCGCAAGGATTGGCGACGTGTCGGTCGGACAGATTCTTGATATGAATATAGCCGGATATACCGTTGTCAAGTCGCAGTCTCACGCCGACGGCCTTGCCCGGACAGGCGCCGGCGTCGAAGTGATTCCACACCTCCGACAATTCGGGAAAGTCGTTCTTCAAACAGAACGGACATTGCCACAGGCAGGTCTCCTCGTTGCGCACCGGATTCGCCTGATCGAGCTGCTCGCCTTGAGGCTTTCGGTGGCTGATGCCGACGACCTTGACCAGAACCAGCTTGCCGACGTAGAAAGTTTCGGGTGTCTCCTTCGTCAGGATGTCGAACAGCTTCTCAGCGTTCGGCGACTGATACGGTACGCGTAGGTCCTTGTAGCGGCTGTTCAGCTCGGCCCTGATGTCGTACAAAGTGACGCACTTGTTACCGAAACCCTGTCGCTCGAGCTCCTCCGCAAACGCGTCGAGATCCAGGTCCTTCAGACGCTCCGGCGACTCTAGGATCTCCTCTAGAGCGCCCGCGGGATTCGCGTCCTCGTCGTCGTACTCCAGTGCATCGACCGCCATCTTCCTAGCCCACTCATAGGTCTCGGGATGGACCCGCGAGCCGTCAAGCACCTCGACATAGGCCTCGGTGCTGTCGCCCAGACTGTTGGTGTCGATCTTGATAAAGCCGGCGCAATTGATAAACACCTTCGGGCCCATATGACACGCGGTGACCAGCTGGGTCCTATTCTCCAGTCTCTGATTCGTCTGCTTCAGCATCTTGATCAGCGCCTGGCCCTTCCGCGGGCCGAGGCCGCAAACGAATTGCACAAGGTTGCCGCAGTAAGCCTGCTGAACCGCCTTGTTCACGTCCACACCGACTTCGTTCACGCGATTCACAAACTCGAGGTACAGATTCTCCAGCAGCTCCTCCTTGGGCAGTTGATCCTGCAGACTATGATACCTGAGGCAGAGAATCTCCTCGTCCGCGGTGCATAATTGCGAGAATTCTACCAGAGGATCCTGCATCCTCCGCGCCAGCGAGATCGCCTGGCGCAGCAGTTCCGGATAGTCCCGAAATTCGGATTTGCCCTTGTTACTGTTGGAATAGATCTTCGCGAGCTCGTTGTCGCAGATCTCCACTTGGATACTTGGAAACTGCTCCTCTCCCATCAGCGTGGTTATGCAATCCTTGATGTCGTCCGCGATCATAGTCGCCTCCCGAGACTCACCGGCTATCGTTATAACATGCGGCTTCTTCGTGGCTATGAAATTTCTCAGCGCCAACAAATCCGCCTCCTTCATCAGTTTCTCGTCCTCGCGATAGCTGTTCTTGCGCTTCATCAGATGCGCCAGACGCAGATAATCCGTGCACTCGCCGTCGGCTGCGATCAGGCAGCTAAAGGCCGCCTGGGAGTAATCGGGCACGTAAGCCAGGCCCATGACCCGGAGGCCCTTACTGGTGTCCCACTCTTCATCTTCCTCCTCGGGGAACTCGCAGCTGTACGGTGCGACTTTAATCCAGTTGTACATCTTGCGGCAGCAGGCGCGCATCACGCATTCCTTAGCCTCGGCTATCAGGTTCGCTCGCAGTTCCTTCTTCAGGTGGGGTATCACCATGCGATTGAGCGCGAGCTCGACGCTACCGACGCGCAGGGCGTTCCAATCCTGCACGAGTTTGCTGAACTCGTCCTTGCAGTAGAGCTGTTTCATCTCATCCACGTAATTGCCGCTGGTGTTGCCCTCGATCGCGTCGCTCAGGGTGATCGTGATGAGTTTATCCTCCTCAGCGATCGCCAGATTCAAGAACTGCACGCCGACGAGATCGCGCACCGGCTTGTCCTTCATGTACTTCATCGTGTAGATGGGATGATTCTCGTCGATCTCTTTGATACCCTTCTTCGTCGGCTTCACGGAGATCTTGGCGCGTTCCATGTACATCTCGCGCACGCATTTGCGCACCAGGGGCTCGCGCGCCAGCTGAATCGCCACCATCAGTTGGGCAGCCTTCAGCACCTCGTCCGCGGTCTTGAATCGCGAGCCGCAGTACTCGCTCGCGATGCTCGTCGGCTCGGTCGGCTCCTGATCCATCTCGTGACGCTGATAATTGTCGCGTAGATTCTCGGCGTACTGCTCGGGCGTGAGACCGAACTTCTTGGCGAGACCGTCGAGGCCGGCCTTCCGACAGATGGAGTACGGGCCGCTCCTCACCGCCTGCTTCAGCGTCTCGTCGACCTCCTCCTCTTCCTGGATCTCGTCCTCCTCTGGCGGATCTTCCCCGTTCTCCTCCGCCTCGGCGATCTGCTGCTTGCGTCGCTGGATCCTCTCCTCGCGCCGGGCCTCCTTCTCCTTCTGTCGCACGGCTTCCTGCATCGCCGGGATTTCATGGGAATAGTACAACATGAAGTGGTGGTAGACGTCGTTGAGCTCCTCGCTGGTCTGTACATTCTTCAGCCGCTCGATGTCGTCGTCCTCGATCGGTCGCACGTTGTCCGGCAGCGGCGCGTCCTTATTCTTCATAATCTCGTCATGCTGATAGTTGCGCATCTTCTCGAACAGCTTGAGCACGTTCTCCTTCCGCTGACGCAGCTGACACCATTTAGCATCGAATTTGTATACCTTCCACAGATCGTTGATGTTCAGCTCGGGCAGCACGTACTCCTTCCTGTAGAAGGATATGAAGGGGACCTCGAAATATTGATTGCGCATAAAATCCAGGGCTTTCTTTATCTTGCCGACGGTCTGCGGACCCTTTCGCGCCCTTTCCTTGGCTTCGGCGTTCAAGTGAGCGTCTTGAATGGAGATCGTCGGCTTGCAAAATGCTTGTTTGTACAGCCACTCGGCCTCGAGGTCGAGCTCGTTGGAGCCCTCTGGAACCGACGTCACTGGTACGGATCGCAGTTGCATTCTTTCCGGTATATCCGTGTTCCGTATCTGCAATGTAAGAGGACACCTTGAACACTCTAGGACTATTTAATCACTATTATTGACTATTATTGACTATTAAATTACAAGCATATGTCATTAGACGTCAAAATGACGTCAGTTTGCTACTTGGGAAATATCTGCTTTATAATATTAAATATCTGATGTATAATCAAATAATCAGAAAAAATCCTATTGTCAACTATTATACAGTTGGACAAAACAACATTAATCGGAACGAGAGTAGTAGTTTCTTAGGTTTTTGAATGTTGAATACGAAACTGGTTTCTAAATTATTTTATCACAATTTTCAGAAATTTTTAATTAAAGTTGCAAAAACGGGTATTTTTTACATACTTTGTAATATTATATAGTTACAATGTGACGTGCTAGAGAAGTGTTATTGCAATCAAAATAAAGTATATTGTTAGGACTTTCAATCCTCAAAAAGAATTTTTGATGTTGGTTAACCAATAAGATATCAATGATTAAATGTATTGCGGAAGTTAGCTGTGATTTTTAGGTCATTTTGACGATTTAACATATAAACTTCAATTATATTAATTTAATTTTAAAGATTTTTAAAATCACTGAATACAAATCCAGTGTCAAAATTGTCAAATTCAAAATGATGAACTCAATATAGCAGATTTATATGAAAAAAGCATTTTTTTATTTTGACATCCCCCATATTGAGTACCATTTTGAAGTTGACAATTTTGACAATGAATTCGTATTCAATGACTTAAAAAATCCTTGGAAATTATTTAGTAAATCGTCAATGACCTAATTGTAAATCATATCTAACTTCTGCAACACAGCTTATATTTAATAACTATGGATATCTCATTACTCTTCATAACTGATACCAAAAATTCCTTTTCAGGGTTAAAAGTCCTAACAACATACTTTATTTTGATCGTAATAAAACTTCTCCAGCATGTCACATATGGTAATTATAGCATGATAAAGTTCGTAAAAATAGTCCTCTTTTACAATTTTACTTAAAAATTTCTCACAAAATTGTGACGTGATGAAGCAATTTGGAAACCAGATTCGTATTCAGCATCCAAGAAACTATAAGAAACATTTTTTCTTGAACAATGTTATCACTATGTCGTACCTCGTTATCCATATCGGTGAAGTGACCACGTTTCAATTCGCTGGGTTCGTAAATCTCAAAAATACTCTTTCTCGTTGTCTTCTTCTTTAGCTGCTTCTTAGGCCGTCGCGGTCGTTCGGTGTCGACATCCTCGTCCAAGTATTCATCCTCCTCTTCTTCCTCCTCTTCCTCCTCGTAATCCTCTTCGCCGTATTTACCGAATTCATCGTAATCGAAGTCAACGCCAAAAATATCTTGCGCTTCTTGCAATGCTCTAAAAATATATGATAAAATATATAATATATACTTATAAATATACTTATAAATATATAATTTATAAATACGTAATATATATAAATATAAGATATTTAATAAACATATATATATATATATATATATATATATATATATATACAAATATATAATATATACATGCATAAATATACATATGTATATTTTTTCTACTTAAGTTTTGCAGAGACAATAAATTTATATCTTATGCTGCAATCGACAAATAATTATATCATTATAAAGATTGTTTAGCATTATAAAGCGTACGCGTCGGAAAATATTGGCTTCTTCTTCTTCCTTTTCTCAGCAATAGGTCTGCCATCGTCATCCACAATAAAATCATCTGCGTCAGTGTATTCCCCTTCATCACTGCCTTCTTCAAAGGTCTCTGCCTCTGGTCTGTGACTACGTTCGCTTCGTCTTTCGTCCTCCTAAGAATGATAAAAAAAGAGATATACACTCACATAACATACATAAATAAATGCAAATAATATATTGTGCAAACAATACATACCGTGATAATGTCCCTTTCCTAATAGAAAGTATGCGTGTGTTTGATAAATGCAAACATAATATATAAAATTTATGAGTGTACTTATGTTCATAAGTGTTTTGTGTAAAAAATACTACTTTAATAACATGTATTTATGTTCCAGTGTTTTGTAAAAAATTAAATGGTTATTGACTAATTTTTTCTCTCATAATTTATTTACACTTTATTCAAATTCTTGATTTTCATCAATGTTATAAATCTGAGATTATTGAAGTATGAAAAGACCATGCAAGCCATACAGTATAAATAAAATTAGTCAAATTACATGTAAATCTGCTATCAGAAGTGAAAAGTAGAGAATTAACAGAATAAGTGATAAATATAGATCTGATTCATGTGTATAACTTTGTAAAACTTACATCTCCGGAAGCTTCAAACAACTCATTTGCAATAGCATCCCTTTCATCATCCACTTCCTTTTCTTGCTCCTCCTCTGATTCCTCGTCCTGAATTCTTCGAAGACGTTTAAAACGTTTCTGTGCAAGACAAGATTTTTTATATAAATGTTCTCTTTTAAGAATAATCTAATCTATTAAACATACCCTCTCAAGTCTAACACCTAAATTTTCTTCGATCAAATCATAATCTTCATCTTCCAAGCGATCATCAAAATCCTCATCGTCACTTTGTTTACGCTTCTTGTGACGATCCGAGCCATCACTATCTTCACCTTCGCTTTCCTCTATGGGATTGTCATCGATCAAATCTTTCAATTCTTCACGTAACTGATCCTCATCATCTACAACATATATCAATATGTTAATACTGCATATCAATTTACAGCTACATTATAATTTATAAATATAAACTTTGATAAATAAATATATTAAACAAATAAAATGAATAAAATAAAATGTATAATGTATATTATAAGCCACAAATTAAATAAATAGACATAGTGCGCTAAGCATTTCATATATTACAGCAGAGATTACAAAGACATTAAATAAATATTAATAGGAATGCAAGTAAATTGAAAAAAAAAAAAAAGAAAATAAGAAAAAGGTAAGAAAATGATTGCAAGGCAGAAAATTCATAAAACATAATTGCAAAATAAAACAATCATTCTTATGGTAGACTAATATTTTAATATTATTAATTTAATAATAAAATAAAATTCACACCTTCCTCTTCGTCGTCGCTCTCTTCCATCGCCTTCAGCTTCTTCAGCTTCTTTCTCTCATTCTGATCCAGTTCTTCCTCCCCCTAAAACCACGTTTTATATCGTAGCGAATTAATATCATCGTTTTGCAAATCAGATAAAAATTCTCGTGCATGATAAAAAATCGAGGAAAAATAGAGACTCATTCATTATTGTATTCACCTCGCTCACGTCCGCCTCGGAATCCAAATACTGTGCCATGCCAAATCCGAAGATATAACAAGTATATCAAGTAATATGGACCCTGGTCACCTTCGATTATCGGTGAGAAATTCAGCGGTGGTGAGAATTGAACGAAAAAAACTCAAGCTATTATTCGATATATTATTTAACTCTTTATTCCAACAAACTCCTTCGTAGAATCAGGTAGAAGAATGTAGAAAAGTACGGATATGGAAACGCATCACCTACCTGAAACTAAACGATTGAACACAGATGGACATCGATCGCCTGTTTTCTTAAATCCATAGACGATAGGAAATAAATAGATGGAGGGATATGTCACACAATGGTTGAAATCACTAGATATCTAGGGACTTTAGTGATGAAGACGTCACGTCATTTTTTGAAATAATTTTTTTTTAATTAATACGTGTCGCTTTTATTCTTGCATTTTATGTATTATTGAATTAAATAATTACTTATCTGTTATCTAAATAAAATTATATAGATAATCGTCTAGATAAAGTTTTGGTGTCATCTTAATAATAAAAAATTATATTTATTAAATTATCTAAAATAATGTTCAGATAACATATTTGTTTTAGAATCATATATAGCACATATAAATACTTAAATATTTATTTTATTAAGTAGCAGAACTTAAGCAGTCAACAATAAAAATTTACACATATAAATATATATATATATATATATATATATATATAATATTATATTATTTTTATTATTATATATATATTATTATCTTTATTATTTTTATTATTATTTTTATTATTTTTATAAAATATTGTATAATCTATATAATTTACTATTTGTTTAGACCAATAAATTTTAAAAATAATTTGTATTTTCTTAAAAATATATAATTTAATAATCCAGATAGCCACAGTAATTATTATGACATCATTTTAATGATGCATTTTGACATCAAAATGATGTCATAATAATTACTGTGTCTATCTGGGAATATATATTTATATATATAAACAAAATAATTAAGCGGGGAGCACTCTCTTTTACATAAGCGCATAAGCATATGCATAATAAATTTGATTGGTTGAATTTCTTATGCATACGTTTATAGATCAATCAAGATTCTTAGGGCACACTAGACCAGGCCTAAAGCTCGTTCTACAATACGTCGTATGTCGCAGTCGGATGTCGGAACGTAAGCGATTGTCCAATGAGAAAATTTCTTTTTCGAAAACAAAATTTCCTCATTGGACAATCGCTTACGTTCCGACATCCGACTGCAACATACGACTTATTATAGACCAGGCCTTAGGCCTAGTCTACAATACGAGGTATTGTAGAATCTAAGTACTTGAGAGTCTCTAGTTCCGACATACGACTTATTATAGACCAGGCCTTAGGCCTAATATTATACAATGTTCTAATATTATAAGTTCTACTATTATCTCATCCCATATATCACAAGAAAAATTTAGAACATTGTATTGAAATATTATTGGATAACGGTTATACCCTATTCATTTAATTTTTAAGGAAATCAATAGGAGAATAAAAGTAGTAAACAATTTTTATTTTAACAATAAAAGAATAAAAGATATTGCAGAGGAAAATAACAAGAAGTTTTTTGTCATCACCTATATTAATAACATTTCTAAAACAGTAGCATCGACAATTAAAAAATCAGATTTTAGAGTGGGTTACTGTTGTCTTAATAATCTTAATAAATTTATTAGAGTTCACAAGGACAAAAACGTGTATGATAATAATAATGTCGTCTATAAAATTAATTGTAAAGACTGTGAAGTTTCTTGGGCAAATCAAAAGAAAATTACGTTCTAGATTAAAGGAACATATAAATAACAAAATTTGATTCTTCCAAGCATTCGGTGGTCTCTGATCATATTGTAAATGAAAAACATGCTTTTGATTGGGATAACGTTAAAATACTTGATATTGAATCGAACTACCATAAAAGACTTATCTCGGAGATGATACACATAAAGGAACAAAAGCATGGTATAAATAATAATACAGACACCGAATTGCTTAACAACGCTTATTTTGACATTCTAAAAGAAATAGAAAATTTTTAGATTTATTAAAATGTTTATGTTTTGCGACTTGACACCTATTTATTCAACTTTTTAACTGACTTGACATCAGTCAAGTACTAACAATAAGTTCAACAACAATTAGAGGCATTGTCATCTCAATTTATTCGGAACAATTGTAAGTAACAAGTAATTAATTTTTAATTTTTACATATACATAAGTGGATTTCTATTTTATAATATAACTTTTTAAATTCAGTTTATAATAACAAATATTAAATAACTTGGAGGAGATGGACACGCTCATTGCCAAACTGATGATAGCCTTTCGCCGACTAACAATGAGTGATTGGTTTGGACGAATGTTTAAGTGCCACTCCGAGGTTTTAATAATTAAAAAAAATTTATTGATTAGCCGGATATATTATTTTTATTTCGATTTTTGCTTCTAATTGGGACTTTTTGCGTTGAACTATATGTAATTATTTCATTTTATTGTTAATGTATTTTGCCTTTTAATTTTGACATAAATATCTAATTTATTTTGACTATTGTATTGCGACTTTTTATTAGAATATTTTTTATTATTTTTTATTATATTTCTTTATTTATTGCGCACTGAGGAAGACTATATAAATATAGTTCGAAACGTTTGTAATTAAGAATATTAGAGTTTACATTGAAATTAGTTTTAGAATTAAAATTTTGCAAGTTTAAAAAAAATTTTATTGCTTGTTTCACATGGCCTTGTAATATTAAGTAAGTTATCATTGTGTTTGTTTATATACGAGCTTGAACATTGGTATAGATTAGTTGATTTTGTATTATTTTTCTGTAGCTCACTTAAAAAAGACCGAAATCAATGGTCAAAACATCGCGATCTACTTTTATGTAACCATAGCCAGTTTTATCGTATATTAATAAAAATAAATAATTTTTATCATCACTTGGCGATTCAAACTTTTTATTAAATTATTTTCTAAATATGTTTAAAATGTTATTAATAAATATTAAAAAAATATTTTAACTGATGTTTTATAAATGTTTTAAAAATATTATTTAATAACATATTGCTCTCAAAATATTAATAAAATATTTTAAAAACGTTAATTTCAATATTATCGAAACCTCTAAATCGATGTCAAAGTTTGTTCATAATGATGTTGCATACAATTAATGTTAAAAACACACTTGACTACATACTTGACATCAATATAATGACGTTATAGCAAAGATTTTTTGCTTACTGGGTATGTGCTTGTAATATCTCTATAATGTTACATTGCAATTTGCAAGATTACAACATTGATGCAATGTAATTGGAATGTTCTGTGCTGTATGGGTTAATAAAGAAAAAAGGAAAAAAAAAGAAAATGCATTTACGCTTATAAGTCCAAGAATTACTTCGGAAATCGAGAATAAGTGTAGGATTTAAATGTTCAGTTTACTTACTACTTATTGTGTGCGATGAAAAATCGGTAAACAAAATTGGAAACCAATATGGTCGTTCTTATTTAGCTGGTCTAATCATAGATTTAAACATTCTTAAATTTTAAATAGTTAATTATTATTTTTGTTTTGTATTTTTAATTTTATTCAATATTATTTTACTCATAAATAACTTTTTGAGTTTCAATGTTTAATTATCATTCCTTTCATTTATATAACTAAAACATTTTTATTTTTCTATTACTTGTACGTTTGAATATTATAACATCAAAATAATATAGAAAGTTTATTACAATAAATTTATTATTGTATATATTTGCTTTAAAAAAAACAATTTATATATATAAGCACCGTCTGTCTGTATGTATGTACGCGAACTACTTCCGCATTTGTGGACCGATATTCGTGAAACTGGTACCAAAATGTTGCAAATTTTTTGGGGGTGGCTGCTGTGGGGTTTTTTTTTTAATTTTTTAATTTTTTTTTTTTCTACAGAGGAGGGTATGTTTAATCTTTTTTTGCAATATTTCTGAACACATGGTATCAAAATGTTGCAAATTTTTTTGGAGATAACGACGATGCGGTTTTTTTAAGTGTTACACCCCCACCCACGCACCCACCCACGCATCCACCCACGCGCATGCGCATTTATGGACCAATTTTCACGAAATTAGTAACAAAATGTTGCAAATTTTTTTGAGAAAACTACTGGTTTATTTTTTTAAGTTTACCCCTCCACCCACGCACCCACCCACGCAATCGTATATTTATGAACCGATTTTTTTTAAATTGGTACCTCTTCCGGCTCTTGCCCATCGAGCTTTCTGTTTTACTGCAAAAAATGATTATATTATATAATATTTATTTATAATATTATATTATTATATATAATATTGAGGAGGGAGAGGGAGAGAGAGAGAGAGAGAAAGAGAGAGAGAAAGAGAGAGAGGGATTAATTTAATCTATATATATAAGCACCGTCCGTCTGTCTGTCTGTCTGTCTGTGCCCGAACTACTTCCGCATTTGTGGACCGATTGTCTCGAAATTGGTACCAAAATGTTGCAAATTTTTCGGGGGTGGCTGCTGTGGGTTTTTTTTTTAATTTTTTTATTTTTATTTTTTTTCTTTAGAGGAGGGTATGTTTTTGCGAAAAAAATTTTTTTTTGCAATATTTCTGAACACATGGTATCAAAATGTTGCAAAATTTTTGGAGATAGCGACGATGCGGTTTTTTTAAGTGTAACACCTCCACCCACGCATCCACCCACGCATCCACCCACACGCATGCGCATTTATGGACCAATTTTCACGAAATTAGTACCAAAATGTTGCAAATTTTTCTGAGGAAACTGGTGTTTTATTTTTTTAAGTTTACGCCTCCACCCACGCAATCATCCACGCGCGTGCGCATTGATGGACCAATATTTTTACGAAATTGGTACAAAATGTTGCAAATTTTTTGGAGATTCATCTATATATATGCACGTCTGTCTGTCTGTACGAACTAGAGGTATGTTTTGCGTTTTTTGCAATACTGACACATGGTATCAAAATGTTGCAAATTTTTGGAGATAGCGACGATGCGGTTTTTTCAAGTGTAACACCTCCACCCACGCATCCACCCACGCGCATGCGCATTTATGACCAATTTTCACGAAATTAGTACCAAAATGTTGCAAATTTTTCTGACAAAGCTGGTGTTTTATTTTTTTAAGTTTACGCCTCCACCCACGCACCCACCCACGCAATCGTATATTTATAAACCGATTTTTTTA